TGAAGCCTACTTGGTCGTGGTGTAATCTTTTTTGATGTGTTGTTGAATTCGGTTTGCCATTATTTTGTTGAGGATTTTTTGCGTCAATGTTCATTAAGGAGATTGGCCTATAGTTCTCCTTTTTGGAGGTGTCTTTGCCTGGTTTTGGGATAAGTGTAATACTGGCTTCATAAAATGTGTTTGGCAGTTTTCCTTCCCTTTCTATTTCGTGGAACAGTTTAAGGAGGGTTGGTATCAGTTTTCTTTAAAGGTCTGATAGAATTCAGCAGAGAATCCATCAGGTCCTGGACTTTTCTTTTTGGGGAGACTCTTTGATTGCTGCTTCAATTTCATTTTGTGTTATAGTCTATTCAGGTGATTAATTTCCTCTTGGTTCAGTTTTGGATGATCATATGTATCTAGAAATCTGTCCATTTCTTTAGATTTTCAAATTTATTTGAATATAGGTTTCAAAGTAGTCTCTGATGATTTCCTGGACTTCCATGGTGTTTGTTGTTATCTCCCCTTTTGCATTCCTGATTCTACTAATTTGGGTTTTTTCTCTCCTCATTTTAGTCAGGTTTGCCAGGGGTCTGTCGATCTTGTTTATTTTTTCAAATAACCAACTTTTTGTGTCATTAATTCATTGTATGGTTTTATTAGTTTCTGTTTCATTGATTTCAGCTCTTATTTTTATTATTTCTCTCCTTCTGTTTGTTTTGGGATTTGCTTGTTCTTGTTTTTCTAGGAGTTTGAGATGTATCATTAGGTCATTGATTTGGGATCTTTCAGTCTTTTTAATATATGCACTCATGGCTATAAACTTTCCTCTCAGGACTGTGTTTTCATTTTCATTAACTTCCAGGAACTTTTAATTTCCTCTTTTATTTCATAGATAATCCATTGTTCATTAAGTAATGTGTTATTTAGTTTCCAGCTGTTTGCATGTTTTTGTCTTTACTTTTGTTGTTGAGTTCTACTTTTACTGCATTGTGATCAGATAGTATGCATGGTATTATTTCTGTTTTCTTATATTTGCTGAGACTTGCTTTGTGCCCTAGGATATGATCTGTTTTGGAGAAGGTTCCATGGGCTGCTGAGAAGAATGTATATTATGTAGAAGTTGGATGAAATGTTCTGTAGACCTCAACTAGGTCCATTTGATCTATTGCATATTTTAGATCTTGGATTTCTTTATTGATTTTTTGTTTGGATGACCTATCTATTGATGATAATGGGGTGTTAAAGTCTCCCACAACCACTGTGTTGGCGTTATATATGCTTTTAGGTCTTTCAGGGTATGTTTGATGAAATTGGGTGCGTTGACATTGGGTGCATACAGGTTGATATTATTATTTCCTTTTGGTCTATTTCCCTTTTATTAGTATGGAATGTCCTTCTTTATCTCGTTTGATCAATGTAGGTTTGAAGTCTACTTTGTCAGAGATAAGTATTGCTACTCCTGCTGTTTTCGGGGGCCATTGGCTTGGTAAATCTTCTTCCAGCCTTTCATCCTAAGCCTATGCTTATTTCTGTCGGTGAGATGGGTCTCCTGTAAGCAACAAATTGTTGGATCTTCCTTTTTAATCCATTTTCAAGTGGTGCCTTTTGATGGGTGAATTAAGTCCATTAACATTAAGTGTTAGTACTGATAGGTATGTGGTGATTCCTGTCATTTAGTTGTCTTAGTTGTTTGAAGGTTTGATTGTGTGTACCTAAGTTGAGGTTACTCTCTACTGTCTTGCTTTTTCTTTCCTGTGTTTGGTGCTGCCTGCTTTTCATGGTTAAGTTGGGTTTCACTTTCTGTGTGCAGAATCCTTGCAGAATCTTTTGTAGTGGTGGCTTTGTGGTCACATATTGTTTTAGTTTCTGCTTATCATGGAAGACTTTTATTGCTCCATCTATTTTGAATGATAGTTTGCTGGGTAGAGTATCCTGGGGTTGAAGTTATTTTCATTCAGTGCCCGGAAGATCTCACCCACGCTCTTCTTGCTTTTAATGTTTCTGTTGAGAAGTCTGCTGTGATTTTGATGGGTTTACCTTTGTATGTTATTGTTTTTTCTCTCTTACAGCCTTCAATATTCTTTCCTAGTTTCTGAACTTGTTGTTTTAATGATGATATGTCGGGGTAGTTCTATTTTGATCTGGTCTGTTTGGTGTCCTGGAGGCCTCTTGCATCTGTATGGGAATATCTTTCTCTAGATTTGGGAAATTTTCCGTTATTATTTTGTTGAATATATTACGCATTCCCTTTGCTTGCACTCTCTCCTTCTTCGATGCCCATGATTCTCAAGTTTGGTCTTTTGATGGAGTCGGTGAGTTCTTGCATTTTCTTTTCACAGGTCTTGAGTTGTTTAATTAATAGTTCTGGTTTTTCCTTTAATTACCATTTCATCTTCAAGTTCTGAGATTCTGTCTTCTGTTTGTTCTATTCTGCTGGATTGGCCTTCTTTGTTTTGCAGTTCTGTTTCGTTCTTTTTTCTGAGGTTTTCCATATCCTGGGTGTTTTCTCTTTAATGTTGTCTATTTTTGTCCTGAGTTCATTTATTCTTTATTCATCGTGTTTCTCTTTCATTTGGTGTTTATACAGTGCTTCTATGGTTTCTTTATTTCTTCTTTGCTTTTTCAAATTCTCTATTTTTTGTTGTCTTGGAATTTCTTGAGTGTCTCCTGTACATTTTGGTTGACCCTATCCAGTATCATCTCTATAAAATTCTCATTGATACTGTAGTATGTCTTCTTTTTAAATTTATTCTTGTGGGTTCATTGGGTCCTTTGGCATAGTTTATCTTCATTTTGTTGGAGTCTGGATCTGAGTATCTGTTTTCTTCTTCATTTCCCTCTGGTTCCTGTACTAATTTTTTGCTGTGGGGAAACTGGTTTCCCTGTTTTTTCTGTCTTCCCGTCATTGTCCTTTGGTGTTGTTACTGTCCCTGTACTGTGTGCAATTAAGTATTTTCTAGCTTGTAATAATAACAATGGTAATATTTAGAATGGAAGGGTGAGCTGAGATGGAAAAGCAAAGAAGTAAAGAAAAGGGGAAAACAAATACAGACAAGAAAGGGAGAAAGCAGAAACAAGGTATCAGAAAAAAGTTTCAAAGGTAATAAACAGGGAGCGTTAGTGTACTAATCGACAGTAAGCTGAACAGACATTAGAGAGACAGAGAGAAAATCAGAATATAAAAAAGATAAGAAAAAATAAAAAATAAGTAAATGAAAGAATATCTATATATAAAAATGAATTAAAATAAATGGAAAAATAGAAAATTAAAAAAAAAAAACCAAACAAACTCTCAAGTTCAATGCAATGAAGTTTCAGTCTTATAATAATTTGGTGTTCGTCCTCAGTCCTCCAATCCTGGAGATGGTGCCTCAGATGTTGTTCTGTAGTTGTCTCATCAAAGGGGATGCATAAAGTAGAACAAAAACTACACAACACACAAAAACCCCCTCCACCAGTGTCCCAAGTTCAAATGCAATACAGTTTCAGTAAGTTTTTCAGCATGCAGGTGTAATTCGGTTGTTCTCTCATCAAAGGTAGGGAGAAAAAGAAAAAAAGAGTCTGGAGACAGTTCTGAGAATGGTATCTGTCTGTGGCTTGCCCTGCCTGCTGCTGTCAGCCTGCTGTTTGCTGGCGGTGTTATTTATGCAGATCTCTGGGGTGAGCTTTAGCACTCACCTGGCCACAGGCTTTGTTTGCTCAGAGTTCTCCTGTGGGGACCCTCTGCTACAAGCTTTCCCTTTCCAAGCACTGGGAAAGGTGACACTTGCACCCGCGTTTGTCAGGCCTGGTGTTTATTTACAGTTCATGTGGGAGGTGGGTCTTCCCCTCTGTGAGTTTTCCTCCCTCTGCACTTTCAGAAGCTTTCCTGCTCCTGATTACTGGGCGGTGCTGCTGCTCCTGCCGGGCTGCCATGTTTGTTTTATCAGTTCACGTGGTGAAGTGGGTTTCTTCCTCCTCTCCTGTGGAGTTTTCCCCTCCCTCCGCCACTCTCACCAGCTTTCCTGCTCCCGGTTGCTGGGCGTGCGCCCTGCTTCTGCCATAGCCCGCTCCGCCAGGCTGTTTTGTTTATTTACAGCCGCAGGAAGGATTTCCCTTCCCCCGCATCTTGCGGTGCTCAGTGCACCCCACCCTCTTTCCTGCACATCTTTATTTGTTCTTATTGCTTTCTTAGTCAGTTTTCTCTTTTTTTTCCCTGGGTGGAGGTTCCGTCTGTTCCAGGGGGCTAAATGCTGCTCTGGCCCAAGGTCTTTGTCTGTGGGAGTAACTGCAGTACTGCAAAAGCTCAACCTGGTCCATGGTCTTTCCCAAGCCGTCCTGGGCCCGCAGGCGACCCCGCAGCCCAGGGGCCCTCCTGGGTTTTCTGTCTCCTTTAAAACTTGAAGTGGAGATTCTCTGAGCTGGCTGGAGGTGTGGGAGGGGTCAAAGTTACTGCCTCTTTCTCAAGTGATTATGCCTGCAATGTGTGTCTCCAGCGTCTCTCCAAGATTTCACATAGGAGGCTCGCTTTCTGCTTCCTCCCTCTAGCCGCCATCTTGGAATCACAAGAGGTAATATTAAAAGTTTATGCCCATTAAGTGCTTCTGTGAAGACTCATCATGTTCTGCCTTTACTGTACTCACCAAATATGTTATTTTTGATAGATGTACAACAAAATTCTAGATACGATGTTGGTTGAAAAATCTATAGTTCAAAGATCTCTACAAATAGAATCCTTCAGAAATTAAAAGTTATTCATTGGTCTCCCTGATTTGTCTGTTTCATTATCACCAGGTTTTTCAAAAATGTAACTTAGAATATTATAATTAAATAAAATCAGCATAACAGCTTTAAGATGCTTTCAGCCGGGCTAAAGACTGTAATATTATTGAGCTGAACATTGAAGTTTTTAAATAGTTAACAAAGTTTTTAAAATTGTATATTGGAAAAACAACAGGCAGTCACATTTAGTAAATCATCATATAGCATTAGATCCACCGTGTTTTGAATCATTAAATCCAATTCTTTCTCCAAAACAGAAAGAACTCTGCAATATGAAATACTTGATGCTGTGCCCAACAAAGGACATATGAGAGAAATTTTTTGGCTTATTAGCTGGGGTGGTTCTAGCCTCATTATTCGATGTTGGAATTTATAGAAGCCCAACAGAATTCTTAACAGGAATATAGTGAATCAGTCAATTCTGGCTTATGTGATCTAATTACAACAATATATCTTTGCTGGAAAGCAAACTGTCTCGTTGGTTCAGATTTCCCTCTCCCTTCAGTTTCCTTTTTTCCCCACTGCATTTTGTAGTCCACTCACTTTGCATTCATTTTTTTAGTACTTTTTAAAGTTTACTTTCTTTGTAACAATTTCCTAGTACAGACAGTTTAAACTCGTGCCTTTTCAAAAATCTCAAAAGCATTTTGCTTAAAGTTCAGGAACATCGCTCAGGCATTATTAAGAGTTGATCTTAAAACATTTTTTTAAAACCCAAACTTTACCCACAAGGTAGAAGAATATATGCATAGTATACAAACTGTAATATGTCCCGGGGTCAACTACACTGTATTAATTTTGTTTTAGCTTATAAAAACAGTTAGAAGAGATCATATATATAAAACTTTGGTGAACATCATATACACAGAAAGATTTAGTAATGATATATTTTTTTAAAGTATTTTAAAACTATTTCATTTGTATTCAGTTAAAGTTGTAAGAGGAATTAATATGATATAATTATATGGCATCACTTTTTACTGGTATTAAAAACATTAATTTTTATTTATTAGCGTTTTTTGCATGCTAAAAAAAAGAATATATGAGCAATCTTTTGAAAGTATATCAAAGAGCAATATTGATACCATCCATCGCTTGGAAAACAAATAAACTGCGAAATGTTGCCAAGATGTTTGCTCACCTTCTTATACACTGATTCACTTCCATGGAGTGTAAGTAGTTGGGTCAATATTTATACTTCTGTCCAAAAAAAAAAAAAAAAAAAAAAAAAATTCCTCTATTATCTCAAATATGTACTAATTTTATAACCTAGCTGTACTATCCTTTCTAGGGGAAATATGAATTAAAATGAAAGTGTATGCTTACTGTCCCGTGGCCGGTCAGTCACGGAGTCTAAACTCCCCTGCCAATAACTTTACACACACTAGGTCGACGCCATAGTGGGACTTAGTCCAGTCTCACGCCGCTCGGGAGAAGTACACCTGAGCGACGACTCAGACCCACAGCAGCCAACAGTGGTGGGTGGGGCGGACTGAGAGCAGCGAGCACACTGACCCAGCGAACTCTGAGAACTGGCGGGTCCCGATCATGTAGAGCGACCGTCCGAGCATGCACGTCCCCCGCCGGGTGGAGTGCTTCTGTGTGCCTCAGTTTTCGGGCCGACCCATACTACAGCTGGTGATCGTATGAGAATATTTACGTTGCTAACTGTTCTTTCTTGGATATATTATGTAGGAATGGATCAAAAAAAACTAGTTAAATAAGATGCAAGAATAAGAAATACTATCCTGGATTATATATGCGGTCCAAATCAAGTGCTTTTTAATAGCGATGCTGGGACTATAGTTAGAAAATATTGTGTATTCATCTTTTCTGTGCAACACACATTTGTTGCACACTCATATCACAAAAAAAGAGATGTATTCTCCTATTTTAGTGGCCTATGTGTCTCTGAATTATTGTCCTATTTCCTAAGAGGATAACTTTCTATAATTCTTGTAGGACTTGAGAAATCATTTTCTGGAGGATATGTTCTTTTGAATGGACATTGACATTGGTAGGCAGTAGAGAAGAGAGCATAGTCAAAGAACAAAGAAAAGGTATCCTTGATGGAGAAATGTGCACTAAATTAGAATTTGAAATGTATTTATTAAGCTAATATTTACTGCACAGTTAATGTTCACTCAACCACCGTTATTTAGCTACTACCTGTGTGTTCAGTCACAGGAGGCTTAGAAATGAATATAAATGAATCAATGATTCATTTCATGAAAGAGGTAATGTATATCCATGGCAATAATGCAGGATAAAAATTGGTAAATTATAAGAAAAGCAAACTTGGTAGAAAATTTATTTTTTTTAAAGAGGGAGAAAATAATATATAAGAGGACAAAAGAGGGCCACATTGTAGATTATCATAAGCTATTCAGAATGAGGCAATACCATTTTTGTTACATATATGGGATAACGTTAGTAGCACTTCAGGCTATGTTAAATAGGCATTTGTAAGCTAACCCAGAAGCCTAATCATAATAATTGTCGTAATTTGCCCCAAAATATCTCTCCATGAGTTTGTTTTTAACCTGCAGTTCTCTCTGTCTTTACTTTCAATGTGTATTATATGTGCTGTACAAACTGCAGCTTAATGCTACAGTAGCATTTTGTCCCAAAGCCTCATAGGCACTATACTTTGATGAGTGAAGTTTAAGAGCAGTAATCTTTACTTCAGTGTTATATGCTCAAGACAAGATGTCTTCCCTGCTATAAAAAGCACATTACTCAAGAAAGAAAATGAAAATCCATTTCTGTAACATCTTAACATTTCAAAATTATTAATAGAGAAGTAGTCTTAAACTTTGCCAAGAGATAATACATGTCAGCATAAGGGAAGATATTCAGAGATAATTCTGGTGGGAGGTAAAAATAAATCATAATTTTAAGAGATACTTAAACTTATTGATCATTTTGTCCTATTTTTGAAAACCAAATAAAATTGTCTCTTTTTTTTAAACTTTTAATTTTTAGGTTCTTGAATGTATAAAACTGAGTGAAGAAACCACTACATCATCTAGTAGAATCTTTGTTAAAATATTTTTCCAGGAACTGTGTGAATATATGGGTCTTCCTAAACTTAATGCAAGATTAAAGGATGAGTAAGTTAACCATGAAACAATTTTAGTTTTATTGTCCTTAGACATTCCCCTCTCCCCCATCTTAGCAGATGCAAGTCTATCTTTGGTTATGAAAAATAAGAGCTAAGGCCCTAGGGCTTTCTTTATCGGAATAGTTTGAATACAGAATTAACACCTCTTTCACACAACCCAGCAGCCCTTCATTTTTTTTTTCCCCTTAGCACATTGAGTCATGTGCTCAGGATGGGAGAGCTGCTGATAGTTTGGGATTCTGTCAGTGTGTGTGTTCCAAGAGTGAGTGGTGGTTCACATGTGACAAGTAACTGTCACAGCCAGGTATGAAGAAGCTTGAGGAGTGGCAGGAAGGGTGTAAACAGTGTATGATCTCAAGTTTTTCAATCTGAGACCTCACAAAAATGAAAAAAAAAAAAAAAAAGAACACTCAAAATTATCTTTTCATGGTCACTGGGAATCTTTAATAATTAGTATTTATTATTTTTGTTTTTACCCTAGTTCTGAGTAAAATATCAAAATAATCAATACTTTGTTATTAATGGATAACAGCATATATAGATAAATATCAGTCATGTCGTTGTTCATATTATTACATGGAACTACACTTTGTTCTAGGACCATTATGTAATCCCTATCTCAACTTTGTTACTTCCTAGCCATTCAGATCACTTGTTGCTACATAGATAGATTTCTTCTCCAGTCTGCTGATGTCATCCTTTCAATTTCTCAGTTATTAACTGCCAAGCACAGTAGTCTTTCTCAGTCCTCATTTCCCTTCACTTCTCTGCCTCAGTTAACAGTTGATCACTTGTTCACTTTCTTCTCATTCCTCTTCTTAAGTCTCTATCCCCTCAACCTGCTTTCCATTGTTAGTTCACCAAACGACCCCACTCGGTTCTCTCTGCTGTATCTGAGTCATTCTTTCCATTCCTCTTGGTTTCATACAGTTGTATTTCATCCCTATCTGTTTTATCAAGCTCATCTGGTCCCTCTTCACCAAGATGCACTCTAGCCACACCAATATTGCCACACTTGTTAAGCATGTCTGAAGCTTCCCTTTACCTCTGTGTCTAGTGCTCGCAGTGCCTCTCTTCCTGACCTATTTAGCAGATAGTTAGTCAGTCTTCTTATATTTTACCCTTTTCTGTGAAACACTTTTTCCTGACTCCCATTTGGTTGTCACTTAATGTGGCGCTCAAAAACACATGTCCCATACTATATTGTATTATTAGTGTTTTTTGTTTGTTCCCTTCTAAAGATAAATAATTATGTAATCAGTCGTCATCTTTGATCTTTATTGACTACCTCTTCCCAGTGCTTCCCACAATGCTATATATGAATGTGTAGATGTTGTAAAAATAAAGGAAGTGTTAACATTTTCTTTTATATATACTCACATAAAATATATATACATAGGTATATATGCATACATATATATACACACATATATGTGTATTTCTGTATATATTTATGTATTCTGTGTGTGTTTGTATATTGAAAGTTTTTTTAAAAAATCTTTATTGTATAGTTTTGAAAATCAAGTTTAGTAAATTGTTCTTATGCTATTTATTTCATTTAGATAGCTTTTGACCCAACTGTAAATGCATAAACTACTCAGTTGATTATATTTCACTTGATAATTTAATATTCAGAGAATCTAAAAAATGACATAAGGACATATCTTTATCTGTTCTATTTTGTTCATTCTTTTTTCTTTTTTAGAACCCTACAACCCTTCTTTGAAGGATTATTACCCCGAGACAATCCAAGAAACACTCGGTTTGCCATCAACTTCTTTACTTCAATAGGGCTTGGAGGCTTAACGTAAGGATTATATTTGGAATTTTATTTTCAGCTTACAAAATTATCTCACAATTACTTTTGAAGCAGAATTTAACAGATTATATTTCTAATTAGGGATGAATTGCGAGAGCATCTCAAAAATACACCAAAGGTCATTGTGGCACAGAAACCAGATATTGAGCAAAATAAGTCCTCCCTGACCTCTTCAGCATCGTCCTCATCAGAGTCCAACTCGTCTGACTCTGACTCTGATAGCAGTGAGAGCAGCTCAGAGTCCTCCAGTGAAGACAGTGACTCTTCATCCTCCAGTAGTCAGAGCTCTGGTTCAGGTACTGCAGCTCGTTTATAATATATCCTGCTCTTTTCTAATAATACAGTGCTGCTGATACTTATAACAAGGGAAGACTATCATTTGGATGCTGCTTCTGTCACAGTTAATATTATAAGACCATCTATCACCATTTTCATAGAAATAAAGATATTTCAATGGCAAGTATTTATTTGAATGATGACTGAAATACCATTCATTTCTGTAATCTAGTTTATAGGAGTTATCCAGATGCTTATATTTATAAGAAATTTTAGTTCTTTAAAAGTAAAGCTTTATGTTAGTAATTTACATATGTCACACATGCAGTGTATACCTTGTATGGTATGTGGATTTTTGTAGAGAACACACCCATATAACTAGCACCCAGATCAAGAATTACCCAAATCCTAGAAGCTATCTGTTCTCTCCCATTCACTACACTCTTCTCATCCTCAAGACAGCTGCTGTTCTGATTTCTGATTTGTGATTGATAAATTAGTATTATCTGTTTTGAGGGGGGTAGTGGGAGTTTTTTTGAGGCAGGGTCTCACTTTGTAGCAAAGGTTGGCCTTAAACTCACTAGCCCGGGTTGGCCTTGAACTCTGATCCTCCTGTCTCGGCCTCCAAAGTGCTGGGATCATAGGAATGTGCTACCACACCTGGTTGTTTTGCTTATTTTTAACTTTAGAATTACACATTATGAATTCCTTTATGTCTAGCTTATTTCTTTCATCATTATTTCATCATTAAGTTATGTTCATATTATTGCATTTATAGTTCATTCCCATTAGTACATAGTTTTCTAATATATAAATGTGCTATGATATATATTTATCTTTTTTACTCAGTGGTCATTTAGATTTACAACTCCCAGCTTATTAATTGAGATGGAGGCTCACTAACTTTTTTTTGCCCGGCTGACCTTGAACTGCAATCCTCCCTATCTCTGCCTTCTAAGTAGAGAGTATCACAGGTATCGGTCACCACGCCTACCCCTGCATCTTTTGATGACCATTCGTATATACAGATAGTCCTTAATCTTTCATAATTTCATTTGTTTTTTTTTAATTTTACAATGAATGATGTGAAAGCTATAATGAATTCAATGGAAACTATGCTAAGAATTTTTTATTTATTTCATTTTTGTTTTCTTTCTTGTTTGTCTTTTGTTTTCTTGAGGCAGAGTGTTGTTATATAACCTAAACCGACTTGAATTTCCTCTATAGCCCAGACTGGCCTTGAAATCATGATCTTCATGACTCAGCCTCCTGAGTATAGGATTATAGGCATATGCCACAATGCCTTAAATTTTGATCTTTTCCCAAGCTAGCAATATGTACCATAATGTTCTTTTCCAATGCCCAACAGTAGGCTAATGTAAGTGTTCTGAACATGTTTAAGGTAGGCTGTACTAAAGTATGGTGTTTACCGGGTTAAGTGTCTTAAATGCATTTTATGGTATTTTCTTTCTTTTTTTCACAATTCCAGTGAATATTACTTAGGCTCATATTAAATAGGACAGAGCTAAGAATTGCTCTCCTCGTTTGTAGGCATAATTCACAACACCCTCTTCATGATCATTGTCTTGCTGTTTCTCCTCAGCTGGCTTCATTAGTTCTCTACAATTATGTAATATCCACAGCATGGTGGTAGGCCTGATCAAAAGCTCGAGTCTTTTCAGAGTGGTGGATAGTAAGTGATAGTCACAGCTAATGGAGACTTTGCTTCATTTTAAAGGTACACTGAGGTCAACTCAGACATACTGTTCTGGTCAAACTTTATTTACAAAGCTGTCTGAATTGTATTGTAATCATCACTGGTTTCTTCCACAAAGCTGGAGGTGGCTGACTCCAAGTCACCAAAAAATTCAAAGTCTGAATGTGTTCCCCTAGTACACATCTGTGGTCAACTCTAGGTCTACAGTCCAGTCTGGATCAGTGGTTGCATCTTGGCTACCCCTAGACCAGCAGTTAACTCTGAATCACTAGATGATTCTGGTAGGTTACTTTACTGGTTGATTTTGGGAGTAGTGTGGGGAAAGCCATAGCCAGAACACACAAGACAGAGGAAGGAGCTCAGAACCTTCCGGTGAGGGCAGGAGTCCAGCAGGTGAGCAGGCAGGAAGGTAGGCCATTTTTGAATATTGAGCATAACCTCATCTTAAGTTGAGGAAGATGTATATGCGTGTGTACACATTGGATTCTCTCTGGATATGTACCTCTAAATGGAGTCTCTGTTGAAGGATATACACATACTTGATTTTGATAAATACTGCCAGTTTTCTAAGTGGTTATTCCAAGTTACACAACTACCATCTATGTATTGGCCATCTTTTTCATTTTGGCCATTCGGATAGCTATGTAACGATACTACCTTGTAGTTTTAGTTTTAATTTTACGTTTAATTTACAGTTCTGTGATCACTAATGAAGTCAAGCATCACTTCATTATTGGCCGTTAAGATATTTTCTTTTCTTTTTTAGCTAAGTGGCTGCTCAAGTTCCCTGCCCCCCCTTTTTTATTTTGTTTTTTATTAAGTTAAATTTTCTATTGATTTATAGACCTTTCTGTATTCTGGATATATATTTTTGCTGCATAAAATATATGCACATATATGTATATATAGTGTATATATGTATGTATATAATATATTGCAAATAACTAGTCCCATTCTTACCTTTCAAGCCCTATGAACCTGCCACAGCTCTGCATCTTTTTATCTTTCCCTCAAAAGCAGCCCTCAATCAGCAGATGGTCCCAGGGAGAAAGTGGCTGTAGAATGTCAGCCAATTTCTCTGTACTTCCACTTTCTCCTGAATTTTTGGCCCTTCTAGTCCTCATTTTATAACCAGTTCTCTGATGCTGTTATTTTTTAACTTTTATTTGGAACTAATTTCAGATGGAATCTGCATATACCACTCATCCAGGTCCCCCTAATGTTAGCTTCTTATATAAACATAGATTAAACTATATTTATTTAGCTTATATAACTTAAATTATATTAACTGAATTATAGGAGTTAACATTGGATTAATATTATTAACAGTATTTTTTAAATGATATACAGATCTTACTTGGATTTCACCAGAAGTAAAGAAGCAGATGAATTCGTCAGGAACCAACAAATAGTGTCCTTTTTCATCTTTCAGGATCCTGTTTGCATGAATTGCATAATCCTCAATCTTTCAGCTTTCTAGGCTGTTTGTGCTTACTGTCTGACTCTCTTAAGTTCTCTGGTTACTTATTTTGTAGTCCTTCAGTGTAGATACTTACCTGATGCTTTTTTATGCCTAGAATGAGAGTAGACATTTTTAGCAAGAATGCCATACAGATGATATCTTCTTAGTGCATTTTTATCAAGGGTCTCATAATAATATTAGTATATTTTATTTTTGTTGACATTATCCTTGATCACTGTATTGGGATGATGTTTGCTGGATGTCTTCACAGAAACTGTTTTCTGTATTTAATTAATATCTTATGTGGAGATATTTTAATACTATGCAAATCTTTCTCCTCCAGCTTTCACTTACTAAATTTGCCAGCCATCTTTGGATCTTTGTCTGTAACATTTATTATTGTGGTGTTTGCCTTATGGTTAGTTTTCTATTGATATATCTTCTTCTGCAATTAGTAATTCAATTTCTTATGTAAGAAAGTTGTCCTCTTCCCTCTTTCATTTATTCAGCCATATGTTTATATCAGTATGGACTCATACATACTTACCTTATTCCGAATTTTAAAGTCCAGTGCTATCATTTATTTTGTTCAAGTTATTTTACCTTTGGCAATTAGGAGTTACTCTCGCTTGACTCCTGTGTTCTTTTGACATCCTTGTCCTTTCCTTGGGCATTTCGTTCCATTATAGCATCACAAGTTGTGTCAAATCTTCAGTGCCTTTAAAAACAGAAAATTTTAAAATCTTACCTGATATTTCTCGTTTTCAGCAGAAGCATAGATTTTCTATAGTCTTCTTCCTTATCCCAATTGGAAATGGAAATGTTGTAGTGAAGCAGTTTTTCAAAGTTCGATCCTGGTTCATTTTCTGAAGATATGTATTGTTTTACACAAGATGAGCTCTGCTTTCTTGCATTATAATATCTTGATCTGGATAAGGGATTGTCTGCTTATCTAAAATGCATATTCTTTGTTGTTTTTTATGCCTTATCTCAGAAAGGTACACTTTTCCCTGGAGCCTTAAACTAGAAGGCTAGTCTTTATACACTCGTTCCATAGCCTGTTACATTTCAAAGTGTTTTACATACTATATGACATCCAGCATTACGGGGCTCTCAGTGTTTGTATTAAAACAAGATTCCATTTGCTCATGGGAACTTTTGTTCTTGAATTGAGATGATACGAACACTGTTCATTTAACATTTGCTTCTTAATTCTACAGAATGTATTTCATGGTATCCATTTTGAGAACAGATAATAACACAGCATGAATTGCTGCAGTAAGGGAGCTTGCTGATTCAAAGTTAATTTATCTTATCTTACAATTTTAGTAGAGAACTTTGTTTTATTAATAAAATATTAAATAGCATAAAAGCAGTATGAACTGTCTCCAAATTGGAAAGCTGGAAAGCAAGCCTAGCAGGCAGAGGGTAGAGTGAATATTGTTTTGTGGCTGAGTGTTAATGTCAGCAGAGCTGTGAGAGTGTGTAGAGGAGGGTCAGAGAGACGTTGCTTTAGCACAGAGCCAGATGGTTTCTGCTTGGGTAGCTGCAATTCATTGGAGCTGTTTGACAGGAACCAGAGAGAGAAGTCCTTAGTGGCAAACCAACTAACTGTACCATGTGACAAGGGTAGGCATTTAGCAATAGAAATAGAAGATAATGCAGTGAGATTTGGGTAGTATTTGAGCAAGAATTGGCAGTTTTCTGCCATGCCTTTTTCTTTCTGTATACATAGGAAGTTTTGAAATTTTACTCACCTTAGCACATTTGCTTTATGTTCCCAAATTAAATAACAAAGTTATTGAATTTATTTTAGAACTTAAAATGAGGTATCGCCTATATTTTATATTTGTGGTTGTACCAGTAAAATTAAATCATTCAAGATTTTTTTTAAGTTTTTGCAGAAACCAAGCCTTTGTGATTCTCAGAAAGTCTGTAACTATATATGCTAACACAGCTTCTCTTACTGGTACAGCTAGTGACTATATGGTAAGCATCACAGAGCAGAACTATTGTTTTCATAGAAAAAGTTTTTATTTGGAAAACACACATTTATGCTGTTATAATTGCAGTTGTTCCACTCCTTCTACCTTTAGAAAGTGATGTTTCTAGTGTGTGTAATCATTGTGTTTTGATTATGTTCTAGACTTAGCATTAATATTTCATATGATGTAATACACATGGGCTAGAATTTCTGTTTTGGGATAAAGTATATAAGTGAAAATGTACCATTTCTAGTCACTTCATAAATTTTTTTGTAGCATTTGCTATAGTTTATTTAAAATTCCTGTTTATTGTCTTGAGTCTGAAACAATACTTTTGTAACTAACATTGAGACATTGGATATTCTTAAAGATTACCCATCTTATAAAACATTCTGTTACCAGATTTTCTGTTTAATCATTTTTTATATGAAGGCAAAACCTACAAAGTATCAGTAAATGCTGGCTTAAATTATAAATTAAGAGTAAAATAAAAGCTAACTCTTTCATTTTATGCATGCAGCTAAAGATACAAGAAAGAAGGGACAAGGAAAGATCAGGAGTAAAGAAGTAGATAAATTGATCAGAAACCAACAAACAAACAATAGAAGACAAGAAGAAGGAAGAGCAGAACAAAGGCATCAGGAAACAAGGACTGAGAGAGAAAGAAGGTCAGAAAGACACAGAGGTCAGAACTCAAGAGATCCAAATTGGAGAGATTCTGTAATAAAACACATGTCAGACAGAAGTGTTCCTTTTGAAGGAAATACTTACAGTAGAGTTGGGAATGACCGAGACCAAGAAATGCACATAGATTTGGAAAATAACCGTGGAGATCCAAAAAAGAAGAGAAGAGAGAGAAGAAATTCTTTTTCTGAAAATGAAAAGCACAGAATCCGAAATCAGGACAGTGAAAATTTTAGAAGAAAAGGTAGATCAAAGTCAAGGGAAAAGAATAGAAAACATTCAGGCTCTAAAAGTGATGAAGACAGGTATCAGAATGGTACCGAGAGGCGAAGGGAGAAATCTAGCAGGCATTCTGAACGTTCCAGAGAATCAAGGGAAAATCGGGATCGAAGAGAAAAGTCTCCAACAAAGCAAAAATAACTACAAAATATCAAACGGAACATGCCTTATACTCAGTTCAAACGTAGTATTTTTTACATTGGTGAACTTTATAGAGAACTCTTGTATAAAATACTTGTTTGTATTTGTAAATTTTGAAAATGTTTTCATTTCAACAAGTTTTATAATTGATGCATCTCAAGACCCTCCCAGTAAAACTATTGGAAAAGTTCCACAGAAAGGAAATGTAAGTTTTGCGTATATTTTGTGAATAAAATGATCAAATGTTCATCAAATCAGTGATTTTTTTCATTGACAAAAATGTTTTTTTCTATAATAATGTTTCTAGTTATAAGCATTGTAATTTTTAGCGGCTTTTTATATATAACTGAAGACCAAAATAGATGAACCATTTCAGTTTAATTAAGTTTATGCTTTATTGATGAAATATTATAAGTTTTAGAAGATTTATTATAAATTTCATATTATGTCTTAAATTGGGTAATATGTAATTTTTTTTCTCAAGCTAAGTGTATGTTAGTCTTTAAGCTGATGCACAGCTATATTTATAATTAGGACTCTTCATTGGTCACATTTCTTCTCTCTGGACTGCTAATTATATTAAATTAGAATTTGTGATTGGTGCTTTTTCTCAGCCTTGAAGTTATATCACTATTAGTGGGTTAATATATATTTAATTTTTAATTTGGATTAATAAGTCTTCAAAAAATGTAGTCATAAGATATGTGAACAGCCTCTGAAATAATTTTAATTTTATAAGAATTTTAAGGGTTTCTATTACTGTAATTTTCAGCAGATAATATGTAGGCATATTACTTCTTTTGAAATAAAATGTTACCACTGAGTTCTAAGATTGGCTGACATATTTAACTTATTAAATATGTCAACTTATTAAATAGTCAACTTATTAATGGAATTCTTATGCTTGCTTACTTTACAAGTAGACGTCCATTTTAGACAATGTCTAGGATGAAAACTAGTAGCCTTACTATCTTAATGTTTAGCTTTTGGGCATACTCTGATTCAGAATGCTATTTTTTTATATAAACTCTGATTCAAAATGCTATTTTTGTTATATAAAAACTTGAGTATAAGTAGCAAGAAAGTCTATGTAAATAAACTTACCTGCTCCCCAAAAATAATAATTAGATATGACAGCTTGGAAAAGTATTTTAGTGTTTTTCCTACAATGATCATTAAAAGACAAACATCATTAGAAGATATTGTCATGGGCATAGACAGTAGTCATTGTCTCACAGAACTGCAGCTGAGCACATTGGGTTTAAGGAGCATATAGATGAGTCCTAAAGGAAATAAATAATATATATATTTTTAACCTGAACACTGATCTTTTGAGGTGGTGAAAAGGAAAAACACAGTCTTCATTTGGTTTCCTCATTTTAACCTTAGTCTAACTTTTAATTGTAAAAATGAGAAACAATTCTTTTTATTGAATACTTACAAACTCAAAACTCTGAAGTAAATTATTTTTAAATTTAACTAAATATCTATTGAACTTCTATATCCCCAGTCTATTCCCAGAACCAGAGATAAAACAGTGAACAGAGTTTCCAGTCTTATGGTAAGAATGGTTGAGTGGAGGTAGAATGTGAAAGATAGTAAGCAAATAAATGTATAATATATCCAAGGGTGATAGAGCTTTGAAGAAAAGCAAAGCTAAGAGTGGAAAGGGAGTGAGTGAAGGTGAGTGGAGGTGACCTGAGGTCAGGGACGTTCTCTAATAAGGTGATGTTTGGCTAGAAATCTGGAGGAAGTGAGGGCTTTGCCATGTGGAGTCCTATCAGAGGAACCTTCTAGGCAGAAGGAAGAGTTTAAGTACAGATGTTTATCAATAGAAAATATTGCCTGGAAAGGAGCATTTTCTATTCCAATTAATTTGGATTTTCCCCCTATTACATTTACTTTTACAAAAGCAATTAACAGAACACCCAGATACCACCACAGGAAGTAATTGAATATAATCGAATCATATCAGACAAGGTGAATAAGGAGGTAGGATGAGGACCCGTACGGTTCTGCCTATAAAATGTATTTCTACGGCATCAACTACAGTTCATATGTACTGTCTGCCAGGTTTTCCTCCATCCTTCTAATATTCAGACAAGAAACACATTGCCTATGTTTGCTATTTCTAATTTTTTTACACTGTGTTTTATAATTTAACACTTTTTCCCCCTTAGGTTACCAGAGTTTGAACTCAGGGCTTCAAGTATGCTAAGAAGGCACTCCACCACTTCACTACCTACCACCCCCAGTCCTTTGTTTGTTTTTAGTTATTTTTCAGATAGGGTCTCATGCTTTTTCCTTAGTGCTAGCCTCCTACATACACATGTGTGGCTGGAATTACAGGCATGAACTACTGTGCCCAGCCTATAATTAGCATTTCTTAAGGGCTGAATTCTAGCTATTTTGTACACATTACTCATTTTTTTAAATTGTCTTCTTGCCTCCATCCCTACTACATTTCCTATTGTCATCCTCTTTATGTTGACTTGAAAAACCATACTGCATCTGAAATCTCCTTGAAGCACTACACTTTGACCACTCCCCATCCCACTCACCTGATATAGTGCTGTTTTGGGAATTCTTTCACCTCATCAAAACATCTGATCCATTAACTTTGTTACTACCTCACCCACCCCATTTTTTCCCTTATTATTCCATGGCCTAATCCTTTGAGTGGAACAAATCAACCAATTTTAATTCTTTCAAAACAACCCTATGAGAATTCGTATTGTCCAGAAGAGAAAAGTCCAAAAGGCTAATTAGGTGTCAGTTGGTAAGTAGCAGGGTCAGGTTTTAAAGCAGATCTGTTTCATTCAAACTAGGACTAAAGGATAGGTAAGAGCTTGAGAGAAGTGTTCGAGGATCAACTCTGCCACCTAGCAGCTGTATGAACCTAGTAGGTTCATTCCCTTCTTGCCCCAGATTCATCTTTACAATTCTTATTCTGTGTAACTTACATGGGTGTAAGTGATGATTATATGAATTAACCAAGTCAAAGAGCCTAGAGTAGCATGGAACACAAAATGGACATTTAGCAAGTAGTTTTCTTTTTCCCCTTTTATGCATCAGCAACTTAGAAGAAAACTCAGGTTCATTGTCTGGCTCATTGTAATGGCTTGCTTTCATTCCAACCTATTACAATTCTTTTAAGTGTATTAAAGTACCTACACAGAAAATATGTGAGGATTTCTGGAGTTACAGTGTGGTAAAGAGTAATTCTCCATTACATTTCTGTCAGTACTTTTCCAGCTGAACGTATCTTTGTAGCTGAAACAACTTGCTTTTTGTTTTTCCTTTTTTTTTCAGAGGGAGGGGGCTACTGGGCATTGAATCAGGGCCTCCTGCTTGCTAGGCAGGCACTCTACCATTGAGCCACACCCCTTTTTTGCTTTAGTTATTTTTCTAATAGTTTCTCCCATTTTTCTCTGGACCTGCCAAGGTTGCAGTCCACCTATTTATGCTTCCTATGTAGCTGGGATGACAGAAAGGCACCCCTACACCCAGCTTATTAACTGAGATGGGGTCTTGCTAACTTTTTGCCTGGGCTGGTTGTTAACCATCTTCATCCTGATGTCTCCCTCCCAAGTAGCTGGGATAAACAGGCATGAGCCACTGCACCTGGCCTCACAACCTGCTTCTATCACTTTATACTTTTCAAGTGTGTTGCAGGGGAAAAAAAAAAAAAAAGATACTTTGACTATCAGATTGTTAAGAGCAAATTTGTTTACACTGTTCTTGTTCTTAACTGACATTTTATCCTCCTTAGTTTCATAGCTGCTTTTATGCCTCGAGTTTTTATTGCCCTTATAATTCTGTTTCTGATTCTCACTTTTTCCAGTGTAGTCAAATGTCATTTCTGTCTGTCCTTCAAATTCTTTTATTCTGTTCCTCATATTGGCGGAATTTTTTCAGCCAAGTAAATTTTCTGTAACACCCACTGATACTTTAGAGGGTGCTCAGAGTGCCCCATGTGACCTCTAGGAAACCTGTGTCCCCTTAAGGTGGACACCTGGAAGTTACACACTCCAGACCCTAATTGGGCCTCCTTACCCTGAAGTCTTGTATCCCTTCAGCCTTGGATGTGTTACAACTTCCATTTATAGCCATCCACATTTCCAAATGTCCTCTAGAACCTTTGTATGTGGTGGTGCTTATCACAGAATGTGAGTCTCTTGAAATTAGTCATACTTATGTGTTTTATGTTACTGGGTAAAAAAAGTGAGGACAAGTTTCTGCCACTTCTACCTGCTCTCCCCACCACCCCAAGTCCATGTTTTGTGGTGAGGATTTTACTGTCAAGTTCACACCTTAGATCAGCTATGCACAGATAGAAGAAAGGAGGCACTCAGCACCCAGTCACAGCGGTGGCCATGTCCCAACACTAAAGACCGGAAGTCTGCGGTGAAAGTGGAGGTGCTTGCTTTTAGAAAAATACACTAACTTATTACTACTTAAATGAATTGAACACTAGCTGGAAACTGCTCATTTAAGTCTCATGTTTACCACTTGCTGGCTGTTGACCTTTAGACAGTCTCCTTATCCTTTGTCTCAAATTCTCCATCTGTGCAGTGGTGCAATAACACATCCATAGTCCTTCAAGTGGTGAAAAATCTTTGTGGCGTTCTCGGTGCTTAAACTAAGTGCTCTGTGCTGTTATTTCTGTCACCATTTGTATTGTTGTCTTTCAAGTTGACCTAGTGCCATAAACCAGGAGTTGCAAATTCAGACATCTATGGGGCCAGATGGGTGGCACACATGCGACCAAGGTCCTTGAGTGGTAAGTTGCAGTCATTTCCAAGCGGTAGCATTTCTCAGCTGCTTCCAATCCTACCTGTAGAAATAAAGCCCAAGGTTGGCCATCTTCTGGTGTTCAAGAGAATGAAAGAATAAGAAATTTTATGTAGCTTCTGGTTTTTAAATGTTCATAATAATATTTAAGTTTAAAATGGACCAAATAGCCAGGTGAGGTGTTACATGCCTATAATCCCAGCACCCAGGAGGCTTAGGCAGGAAGATTGCAAGCTTAAGACCAGCCCTGGGCAGCACAGTGAGAACTTTCTTTAAAAAAAAAAAAAAAATTATTTTTTTTATATATATGCAGTTCAAAAAAATTATCTACAGATGTACTAGCTTTGGGATGTGATTCAACTCTACATCTTCAAAAATTATTTGCGTCTCAATTTTGAAATGACACAATTATACAAAGGTGATTTTTTTCAGTTTCTTCTCTTCATGCAGCAGAAAGATAAGCCCTTCATCTTTCTTAAGAATCCCTGTTTACTTTGCTAACCTCTGAAGTCCCCTCTAGCTATATTGCTACAAAACTTGTGTGAAGTTTTAGTTCATTGGCCCAATCCCTCTCTCTAATTTTTGGTACCCAC